ATGCAATCCAGAGGACATTGTCACGGTGGTTCCATGAGCATCGCATGGAGTCAGATCATTTTACCACAATCCTTGTTTCGTAGGTTAAAAAATTATTGCGAGAACGTATGGAACTGTCAAATGCACTATTTGCCTATCTTCTCAATGCTCAAGAGTTCACCGAGCGCGGCTATGGTCTGGATGCCCTGGTTAACCTTCTTAGTAAAAGTTACAGCTATAAGGTGCTTGACATTCAACGTTTACCTTGTCCTCATGCACTAGCAGCATTGAAACACTAACCCAAGTCGAATTTTGGTTCAAGAATTTACACAGAACTTTGCTCTCCTCTCTATATGGCAAGCCACTACATGCTGGCTTATTTAGATACGATATATCCAGTTCCTCCAGAAAAGTAGTGGGTGGTGTTGCCAAAGTTGGTTGACATTATCATTCATCCCCCATTAAAGAAGACAAAAAAAGGGAGAAAAAGAGTTAAGCATATTCCATCAGCCTGTGAGGTTCCTCAGAGGACGAATAAGTGCTTGCAAGCAACCTGGCCACAAGAAAAGTCGTTGCCAGAATCGACCACATGCAGCTCAAGGAAAGTAGGTTCGAATCGATCAGAAGCAAGCACGCAAGCAATCTGCCATTAGATTTGCAGATAAGAGCAGATCACTTAAGCAACCTAAGATCGCTTAAGTGATTGATTGTTATCTACATATCTAAACAGCAGATCGCTTAAACGATCTATTGTTCAGATCTGCAGATAATAGTAGATTGCTTAAGTGATTTGCTACTCAGATTGGATTTTGTGAACACCAGATCACTTCAGCAACAGAAGATCGCTTAAGCGATGATCTGATCAGCAGATCGCTTAAGCGACCAATGATCACTTAAGCGATCTGATGAACTTATTATGTTTCTCTTCGCTATATGCCAAGCTTTTGTGGTGCATTAAACTAATTTTATGTCCTTGTATTTCCAGCTATGCCATCAAGAATAATGATGAAATCGAGAGAGTTATCAAGGCCAACCGTTGAAAACTTATTAGTGAATCGAGAGAGTGGCCAAGGCCAACCGTTGAAGACTTATTAGTGAATCGAGAGAGTTGCCAAGGCCAATCTGTAATGATTCTCTTTCTCTAGCTAGTATACTTGTGAAATAGAAAGTAAAACTCAATAAATATATCGATATAAGAAAGTATACAGATAGATGATTATGAAATAGAGGGCCCATACTAATTTTTCTTTATACAAATCTGTACATCAAGTAACAAAATTACTAAAAAATAAACTCGACAGTGTTGCTAGACCCTTCCGCTTCTTGACACCCCATCCAACTACATCTCATCTACTACCTGCAAAGACATTGAAAACAACGGGGTAAGCACTAATTGCTCCGTAAGTAAACCCGCTATGCTACCCTTCTATATCCATTGCTCTTATTCTGATTTTCTTTCCTTACATCAAACTTTTCTATTCTTCTCTGCTCTTTCTATAGCTTTAGTTTTTCACTACTCAGGATAGTGGAAATGGTATCATGCATAAATATAATGCATATGCACAAATGCATAGGATGTGCATTTTCTTTTCTATTTTTCTGTTTTTCTGTTTCTTTTCTCTATATTTCTTTCTTTCTTTCTTTTCTAGTCTTTCTTTCTTTCTTTCTATTCTTTCTATTCTTTCTTTCTTTCTTGCCGATTGGACTCGGTTGAGGCATGGATTCGGAACCCTGGCCATGTGAGTGTATTCTCTAATTCTTTCTAGGTACAGTCCTCATCCACATGCACTTCTAACGGACTCTACAATTCTTCTTTGTGATTTTGAGGCTGCTTACTAAAGGCGGCGTGCATGCGGGGCTAGTCACTCACGGGTTTCCCATCACAACAACCTTCTCTTCTCTTCTTTAAAAGTGTTCTTTATTATTTCTCTTTTCTTTCTCTTTCTTCTTTAATGTTCTTTAATGCTTTTTGATTCTCTTATGAGTATGTATGCATGTAGATGGGCTTATGCTTATTATGCTTTCTAAATTCACATGTTTAGAAGAAATAATGCAATATGGCATGTGAACATGTCATTCTCTACCATCTACAAACTCATCTCAAGATAACAAATAATCATATTCATGCATGCACTTATCTTTGACAATTCATCAAACAATTTGTATGCACACACAAACTCTAAATTGGCTACACTTCTATATCTTTCTTAAGCCACCAAAATTTGGAGCCAAACTCCGTAAAATCATCATCAAACCTAGCCAGGAATTACACTTCACAAATTCTACTCTAATTCTTCCATAATTCATCCAAACTCTCATCAAACACCACATACACAAACACCACTTCTCATAATGGAATTCTAACCATCATTCAACATCAATTACATCAACAATTCTCATACAAACACATACATGCATAAAAGAAGTTATCTACACAATATTGCTCCAATCATGAGTAGGGTTGGATTTACTTACTTTAGATGTGAGCAATCCAAACACTTTAGTAGTCTTCCTTGATACAACCCTCTTTCTCTTAAACCCTATGAATACAAATCATAAAAATCAACACTTTAAAACATTAATCTCACATCTTAGTGCAAGGATCTTACCTAGGGATGCTTAGGATTGAAATTCCACCAAAAGTGAACCAAGATCTATGAATTTTCTTGAAAAGTGATTAAAGAAATTTGAGAGAACTTGGGTGGAAAGTGGCATGAATGGAAGGGAAAGAATGGCTAGGGTTTTATGCTTTAACCCTTAATATAACATATTATTACTCATAGCTTCCCATTTTACCCTTGCACTTTCTATGAAATTCCATCTATGTCCCTTAGTCAATTACCATAATGTCCTCATTCCATTGCATTCTCCATGAAAATCTATCTCTTTTCACTCCCCACACTTTCAACTAATTATGGGTGGAATGACCATTTTGCCCTTGAGTAAGTTTTCCCTTGAATTTCACTAAAATTTCCAGGGAGTTCTTCGCCGTGGCGAAGCATTCATTTGCTACCACGAATTTGGGCAAATAGTACATTGCCATGGCGACAAAATCCCTTTGTCGCGGCGAAGTCTGCAAAATTTTCCCCAAGCTAATTTCATGCATCCATCTTGGAATAAACACTACAACTAAGGGAAATGAGGTTACGTACCTCGATGTGGGTGTTACACAACCATTGAAGATTTATTAGTGAATCGAGAGAGTTGCCAAGGCCAACTGTTGAAGACTTATTGTTTTCAATTTTTTATGTTTTCAATTTAATTGTTACTTTGAATAAATCATCCTTTATATCGTATTAAATAAAATTAATTATTTTTCATTTTCATCCATTTTAAAAAAGGTTTAAGTAAAATTTCTCATATTACCCCTGCACTGTGTTAGGAAACGGTCCATATACGCAGCGGAAAACAAAATCATAATAACAAGGATCGTTCCCAAAGAGCCAAAATCAAGGGTACAATTTTACAATTTTATCATAAAATAGAAATCTCCAGAAATTAATCATGAGTTTGGAAATACATACGCACGTTTGGAGGCTCCTCCAAATTTGTCAATGAACGTTTTTGCTACCGATCCAAGTGTATGATCGAATCCACGTAGTCCACACGAAGACAATCACAAAGAACTAAGGAGGGATTTGCTAGATCCTCCTTAGCCTTAAGAATCAAGAAGGAAATCAAATGAATTGATTTTGGGCAAAAATGGATTCTGCCGTGGGAGAGCAAATGGGGCTGCTGTGGCCACAGTTTCGGTTACTCTCGACATTATGTATTCAGTTTCTGGACCAATGACCTGTATTATAATCCGGATAGAGCAACAACTCAATCCCACTGTGGCCACAGTTTTAGTGTCATTGCCATATACTGAATTGCGCTGTGAGATAACTTCTCCCGTACCCGAGAGTGATTGTCAATCCACCATAGTCTTAATACACTCCTTGATGTAGCCAATCACCACCATATTGACAGCTCTGAACATAATTGCGTTAGGCTAGTGTCAAACTGCACCAATCAGGGCACAAGGCGCTCCGGTGATCTCAAGTCTAAGGATCACATGCACCACCATTCATTAGAGGATTTGTTCCATAGACACTGGGGTTAGCATCCATATGGAATCCTCTGGTGGGTTAGTCCAGTGAACTTGCTACGGTATATCTGCCTATAGCAAGCACCCATGTGTTGCACCAGGTTGTCACCAAACAACCTTGACAAGTGAGATCAGTCACTGCCTTTCGACAGGGTCATTCAACACTATGATAGCCTTACCATATTACCTGTGCCCTTACTTTAGAATAAACTAGGGCTATGGACGTTTCTAGAATGGCCACCATATGTGCTCATAGGGTTCTCACTATCAGGATTTGAAACACTTGATACCTTCGTCACGGTTCTTCCATTCTAAGGACATATATCAATACATATTGCAATAATAATGATTTATGCGGTATAGAATAAAATGCCTTTTATTTATTAATGAACATTATTACAAATAGTCAATTCTACAATAATTGATTGGCTCTAAGGCATCTACTCTAAAAATCTCCCACTTGCACTATAGCCAATCATTCATGTATTTAATACCAAATGATCTCAAGTGCCTTTCATGCTTCTGCTACGACAGAGGCTTTGTCAGTGGCTCTGCGAGATTATTGTCAGTATGCACTTTACTAATCTGCACGTTTTTCCTCTCAACTATCTCTCTGATGAGATGGAATCGTCTGAGTATGTGTCTATATTTTTTATGAGACCGTGGTTCCTTGGCTTGAGTAATTGCTCCATTGTTGTCGCAATAGATGTTTATAGGATCAACAATCGTGGGAACCACACCAAGTTCAGTAATGAACTTCTTAATCTAGACGGCCTCTATGGCCGCATCTGACAATACAATATGCTTAGCCTCCATTGTAGAATCCGCTATACTGTAATACCCAAGATATCAAAGGTATGTTCCTAACTCAAAATAGTCCTTTAGATGTTAATTTTATGTTAAAAAGCATAAAATCTAACTAAGGGAAAAATAGTCAATTCATTTGGAACCTTNAAAAAAAAGAGGATAGACATTTAATTCTCACCAACACTTGAGGGGTATATTTAAAAGCAAACACATTTTGGTTGGTCAAAAGCCCATCTAGAAATGGACCAACAATGAACAAAGTCATCGCCTGATAGGGGCAAGACTGATAAAGAAGTTGAGTTGAAGAAACTTTGAACTTCTTCTGGATGGTATTGGTCATCTGAGAGAAAGTAGTTAAGATTTCAACAAACCAAAGAAATTCTATAGGAGACTAATCTGGCCCTACAGCAAAACAATTAACAATTTATATTCTATTTAGTAAACATCGAACATGTAAGAACATTAAAAAAAAAAAAGCATAGAAATAGCAAAAGACACTTTAGCTGAGGATACAATCTGAGCGACACAAGTTGTAATAACTGCAAGTAGCGACATGACAGAACCCAGAACATTAAGCTGAAGATCAGTCACGGTTGCAATTCCAACACCCACAAGAAGGATGGCTAGTGAAAACTGGATACTCCGACTGCAATTATTTAATGTAGTATTAAAACATAGCTGTAATTAGCTAAATAATTAATCAAAGGAATATATCGAAATTGAATATGAACATAGGGAAGCAAAACAAGCACACCTAATATTCATATAATAGTATTGAAATCCCGATAAATGACATGTTTCACCAAACTGAAAGAAAAGATTTAGAGCTAACAAAGTGACAGCTTTTCAATGGAAAAAGAAAAAACCATAACCATAATAGAAACAAATTTATGCTGATGAAATCAAGCATACTAAACCCAACAACAATACAAGAGCAAACCATATGATCTAAAATTAGAAGACCATCTAATAGCCCATTAAAGCAGGCTATCAAATGGTACAGGGAAACTTCCACAGCTTCCAACTCACTAATTCAAGATTGTATTAACATCATCATAGGACCACACTTGAAATATTTAAAATTTTCCATTTCCAGGTAACCTCTCTACCCAAGAATGTTCTCCCCCTATCCAAGATCTAAGGGTCTACCAGCAAATGCCTTCAAGCATATGATGCATTATCTATCCTCGAAAGCAATTATTTGAGAGGCCAATCTGAAACATTTACCAGAGCAGGGAACTGTACTTTCATTTAGACTGGCATAAAAAGAAAACAGGAATAAATTTTTTTTATCATACAAATAGAGTTTCATAATCAAATACTATACCTGAATTGCTTTCTGAAGAATATGGTCTCCAAAAGAACAGTGCAGGGGATGATTGCAAGTTTCGTCATCTAAATGACAAATAAAAAACGAGAATTTTTCAGAAACTAAAACCAGAATAAAGACTATAAAATACTAAACAAAAGTATTAACTATCAGAATTTGTAGGTAATCTCACCAGCAATAGAGGTTTTTTTAAATTTTCTAGGAGGCTCCTAACATTTTTCTACAACGGCTTCTGATGACTTTTATAATTTCCGAGAAAGGTTTCTTACATTTTCAAACCACCTGGATTTGCTAGATTTACCACCTAACTTCAAGAGAGGTCAGTAGTGTTTACTCAAAATAGAGTAGAAGGTGCTTTTTAGTACACTATTGAAACACATTAATTCTGTAAAGGTAAATTGCTCTATAACATAAAATAATTAATAGAATGAAGGAAGCAGACAGAAAACCTCTCGATCAACCCAACTCTGATACCAATTTGAGGAACCAGTATTTTGAAAAACTTCAAATTATTACACTAGGACTCAAAAATAATATTAACATTGTTGGCATAATTGGTTCTAAAGAAAAATTAATGAAGTTACATAATCATAAGACTAGTTACAGATCATAAGACTGATAATGTTTATTGTTGTGAAGACAAAATTCAAAATCACAAGTCAGCTTGTAGAATGAAATTTTACCTGGTAGAAACCAACAGAATTGAAACCCAAGCTAAGATTCAAAAGCCCAATGGATATTCCATTCAATATGCCAAATCCCATAACAGCTCTAGGATCAAAAGGCTTGTGCTCAAACAATTTCATCCATAATGCCACGTGAAGAGAACAAAATGTAACCAGAAGATGCCAGCTAGTCAAAGTTGTGGCTGCAATTCATAAGTACTCAAGAGTAAATAATCACGTAATAGCTAGTCAAAGTTGTGGCTGCAATTCATAAGTACTCAAGAGTAAATAATCACGTAATAGCTAATAAATCAGAATCGAGCAATAATGATGATAGTAGTGATGATCTCAGTTGAAAACATATGGTAAACTACTAACAGCTACATGCGGGCCTGACACATTGTAATTTATCACTCCATGGACTAAATCAAAGGAAAGAGGAAAAACTCAACCATTCAGCGTTTAACACAATACAAGTACATTCTACTAAATCATTTCAAAAAGATTTCTCAATAACTACAAGATACTTAGTCCAGCTGCTTGGATCTATTTTAGTTGACAAAAGGCATCGTAATCGAATCCCACTCCCAGCAGGTGAGAGGGGTTTAGTTTAATTTTGTAAGTTTGAAAACTAAAACAATAGTCCCATTATGCTAGATATTTACTGTCATTTTCTTCAACAGATTAGTCTAAACTCTTAAAAAAACTAAATTAGATCTAACAACTCAATTAACAGCTGCTAATTATAATGAATAACAACACGATCAACAAAATTATAATATCGACAATAACAATAATAATAATAAAAGCTCACCAAAAGTGAAACCGAGCGAGCTTATAAGCGCCTTGTTGCAAATCACAATGGAAACAGATGAAACCACCGACAAACTCAAAGCTCCAATTGTTCCCAACTGGAACCTCTGGCCTTCACTCATCTTCTCTCTCTCTTTCTCTTTCTCTCTCTCTCTCTCTCTCTCTCTCTCTCTCTCTCTCTCTTTATTGGCTCGATCTGGATCTACAAAAAAACGCAACCACGTATACATAAACACACGTATGAAACACAAGCACGTAGAGGGTCAAGATTAGAAATGCTTACCTCATTTAGCGCGGAATTGGAAGGCTTCGAAACAGCTCAACTGAGATTTAACATAAATTGAAGGATAAGTGAGAATTAAATCAAGATTTGGTTGAAATTGGGGAATTTAAAAGAAAAAATAAACCCTAGATCTGAGAGTAATTAATAATTAAGAAGATGATTATTATTATTGAGTGAGAGAGAAAGAGAGACCTGAAAATGAAATGAAATGAAATGGAAATGTATCAACCAACAACACTGATCGTGTCACTTCTTATTAGAATGAGAGAGCTTTCTCTGTTTGTTTTATTAACTAATAATTTGTTACTTATTTATATGGAAAATTTTCATTCTATTCAGATGCTCTTTCATTTTAATAATAATTTCTTAATTATAAGTCAATTTACCTAATTTGATAAAAACTTTATTTTCATAATTTTAGAAAAAATTATATTAAATAACCTTTTTTTTTTAAATTGAAAAATAGTACAGTTTTAAAAGTCTCTGGAAAAGTAATCATATTTTAAAATTTTAGCAATCACTAGATAAATTACCCCCCCTTTTTTTTTTTTTTTTATCTAAAAATCCAAAGTGTATCGGAAGCCATCAGTTCCTCCAATAAATGACTGTAGTTTGGTTATTGATTACCTTGAGTATGCGTGTAGTTCAATGAATGTTTTCGCATGATAGAATATTGTATTATTGAAAAGATAGATTATTAAGAAATTTTTATAGAAATATGTATGGTTGATTAGAATAAATTGATAAGTATATTATAATAATATGTTTGATTGAGAGGATAAATGAATAGGTATGTTACGTAGATTATTAAATTGTCTTTCTTTTTAAATAATAATATAATATTATTTAATTCTATTATTTTTTAAATTATTTTTTAACCTCCTATATTTGAAATTTTACCAAAATATCTCAGTCATATAAAACTTTAATTTATAGTAAAATTATCCCCACCCACCCCAAGCCACTGTCGACAACTAGCCACCATCGTTGGCAACTGCTCTAATGGCCCATGACCGTCTAAATCTGGTTGGTCGTGCGCCGATAAGGTCTAATCTAGTCATGGATCAAAGATCCATGGTAAAAAACGGCTAGATCTGGCCGTGAATATGGTTGTTTCACGGCCAAAGATGTGGCCATGAAACGACAACCATTTCATAGCCAAAGATCTAGCATTTTCACAGTCATATCTATGGCATTTCACGGCCAGATTGGTCGTTTTCGACCATGGATCACAAATCCATGGCCGAAAACGTCCTTACCGGCACACAACTGGCAAGATTTTGTTGGTCTTGCCCCAATATGACGATTTTCGCCGACGACCAACGGTGATGGCTAGCGGTCGGCGGTGGTCTTGGGTGATTGGGGATATTTTGTTAACTTTTAAACTTTTTGTGGTTATGGTGTTTTAACTATATTTTCAAATGTAAGGGGGTCAGTATTGTTATTTGGTAGATATATGAGGACAAATGTGTCCTAAATGATAAAAGATTAAGGGCAAAACAGGGTCAAAATTAAGATTATCTCAGTAATCTTATATTAACACCCTTTGGGAAGGTAATCTGATTACCCCCAATATTACGAATAATAAATACTATTTGCAATAAAAGATTACCTAATATTTTATTACTTGACAACCAAACGAAAGAATCTTGAAAATTAAACAAAGATTATAAAATTAATCTTATANCATCACTTCTCATGGTGGAATTCTAACCATCATTCAACATCAATTCCATCAACAATTCTCATACAAACACATACATGCATAAAAGAAGTTTTCTACGCAATATTGCTCCAATCATGACTAGGGTTAGATTTACTTACCTTAGATGTGAGCAATCCAAACACTTTAGTAGTCTTCCTTGATACAACCCTCTTTCTCTTAAACCCTATGAATACAAATCATAAGAATCAACACTTTAAAACATTAATCTCACATCTTAGTGCAATAATCTTACCTATGGATGCTTGAGATTGAAATTCCACCAAAAGTGAACCAAGATCTGTGAATTTCCTTGAAAAGTGATTGAAGAAATTTGAGAGAACTTGGGTGGAAAGTGGTGTGAATGGAGGGGGAAGAATGCCTAGGGTTTTATACTTGAACCCTTAATATAACATATATTACTTATAGCTTCCCGTTTTACCCTTATATTTTCTATAAAATTTCATCTATGTCCCTTTATCAATTACCATAATGTCCTCATTCTATTGCATTCTCCATGAAAATCTATCTCTTTTCACTCTCCACACTTTTAACTAATTATGGGTGGAAAGACCATTTTGCCCTTGAGCAAGTTTTCCCCTGAATTTCACTAAAATTTCCAGGGAGTTCTTCACCCTGGCGAAGCATGCATTTTGCTGCCACGAATTTGGGCAGAGAGTACATTGCCGCGATGACAAAATCCCTTTGCCACAGCAATGTTTGCAAAATTTTCCCCAAACTAATTTCATGCATTCATCTTGGAATAAACACTACAACGACTAACTATATTACTACATTACCCCTTTAAATTTTAAAATTATATCCTATACCCTTATTTTTAATAATGTAGTGTCTTTTTTAGTATTTTAATAATAAAATGTATTTATAAGCTATATTTTACCAAACACGTCAATTACTTATCAAAACACGTAATTGCTTAAATTTTAAATGCTTATAAGCTCAAATTAGTTTATAAGCACTAGCTGTTTATAAGTTAATTTTCATAAGCTCAGCCAAACAGATTCTAAGTCAAGCACTTATATTTTGAAAATACAGAAACAAAAGTTGCACAATCGAACTCAAAAAATCAAAATTTATTTTAATTTCCCCAAAAAACACTATAAACGCCTTTTTCTTTTTTTTTTTTTTTAAATGACAGGGTAATATTATACTTAAAACCTAATCTGACAAACTTTCTCTCATAAACCCTAAGTGGCAACTCCCAATTTTTTGTTTTTGAATTTCCAAAATTCAAAATTCATCAGCAAAAAACTGAAAAACTGCCATGAGAAAGAGTTTATAAAATTGAATTGTGAGCCAATCTTTATTGTTAATAATAACTTGATTTGAATAAATTACTTATTAATGATTTAGAAGGGCACAATCACTTGTTGAATATAATCCCACTAGAGGGATCACAACTATACAATAGTATCTTGGGTATTCAACGGAAGTGTGGACTTCGATTACAACACCTATATCAATGCAATCTGTATAATGCCATTAAACTCTGATTTTGGATTAAGTCCTTGATGAATACCAAAGAAAATGTTGTTGTGATTCGAATTAGGCCTTTATCATCCCATTTGCGCTGAAGAATTGAGGAGGGGAAGCATACACCAGGACCTGAAGCGTTCATTAGTTGAATAGGTGATGAAATATATAACATAGTGAACATGATTATAACAATGATGAAATTTTTCAGTATTTGATAACAGTATACACTTTAACAAATCAAATTCTGGTATGTTTCCCATTTCATGCCTCATTCATACAGAAACTATTAACCAAAACTGCTTATATAAATGCATTTTCTTGTCCCTAAGGGACTACTTCGGTTTCCAAGGGGGAACTTGTAAATCTCTGACTACCCAATGCGCCTGCGGTGCAGTAAATGCATGACCTTTTAAGGGGCCATCAGCAAACATCTTCAAGTCGCTGGCAAATTTTGTACAGAGCTCATATTTTATCTAAGGTGAACTGAATGTAAGTATCAGGATCCGAATGGAAGTGCCGTCTCAGCTGCAGGTCCTTTTTGAAGAATCCACTTGGGCGGAACTTTTGCAAACACCTTCAATTTATGATTCCGGTTCCTTTTATTTTCCACACTCATAGAGGTCAGATTCACTTTCCCTTGGCCCGGATCCATTGCAGATAGGAACAGTAGTATTATAATTGGTGCTTTTTAAATTCGATCCACATGATACTATGGACATCATAGACACAGATATTACATTAACATATTTATGCAAAATCTTACAGACACACATGATCACATAAGAGATTGTGCACTGACCTACTACCTGCGGCAATTGGTCTGTCTTCAGTAGCCATTCTGCTGCATCAGAGTGGCAACCATAATGAATAAAGTCCATCAAACACACAGGCACTCGGATTCCCAAAATGTATCCCCGCCAGCTACAATGGATCATGACAGTGTACAATGCCAAATGCCAAAACCTAACAACAAGTTTTTCAAGATGTCCCGGACCCTGATAGGTCCGACTGAGATGTCTTTCCAGGACCAGAAAACTATGAGTTAACGCGAGACAGATACAGCGCAGGTAGAACAATGACGACGAGCCAGGCCAATGATGGTTGTAAGGAAGTTATTAATGAACAAAACAGAAAATAAGAGAAACACAAAAAAGAGATAGACATTAATTCTCACCAACACTTGAGGGGCATATTAAAGCAAACACTTTTTGGTTGGGGTCAAACCCATCGAGAATGGACCACAACTGACCAAAGTCATCCGCCTGATAGGGCAACTGATAAAGAAGTTGAAGTTGAGAATTTGTAACTTCTTCTGATGGTATTGGTCTCTGAGAAAGTATTTAATAGATTTCAACAAAACCAAAGAATTCTATAGAACGACATTAATATCTGATCGCCCACAGCAAAACAACTTACAATTTAATTCTATTTAGTAAACATTACACGAACATGTAAAAACACTATAAAAAAAAAAGAGCATAAAATGACTAACGACACTTTAACTGTGGATACAACTCTTAGTACGCCACAAGGTTGTACATAAACAGCAAAGTAGGCGACATGACAAGAACCCAGACCATTAACTGAAGTCATCACGGTGGCCAATTCCAACACACCACAAAGAAGGATGGCTTAGGTGAAAACTGATCTGTCCGACTGCGAATGTATTTAATGTATGTAAAACAAACTAAAGACTGTAAAGCATTATCATGAATAACTTAATCAAAGGACTATATCGAAATGGAATATGAACATATGATCAAGCACAACATCAACCCTAATATTCAGTTATAGTATTGAAATCCCGATAAAGACATGTTTTCACCACAACTGAAAGAAACGATTTAGAGCTAACAAACGTGACAGCTTTTCATGAAAAGCAAATACCATAAACCAAAATAGACACCAATTTAGCGGATGAAATCTCAAGCACTACTAAAAACCAACAACATACAGGCAAACCATATGATCTAAATTAGAAAGACATGCTATAGCCCTTAACAGCTATCAAATGTTACAGGGAAACACTCCACAGCTTCCCAACTCCTAAATT